GTGGCCCTATACGGTGCGCTGAGGAACCTCTATGGCTGTCTATTGAACTTAAGGCCTCAGACTCGTTCACCTCAGTAGATCAGACAGGAAGCCTTCAAATGAGTAAAGAAAACTCAAATTTAGAGAAGAAGAGAAAAAGAGAAAAAAAGAGGGGATGAAAGATTTAAAAAAAAAAAAAAGGGTGGAAGGGAAGAGTGGAATAATACACAATAACTTAAACTCCCCAGATCCACAGAGGGGATATATACGCCCCCCCTCCTGTGCGGACCTGATGAGCCAGGACCCAATAGACCACATCTTTCCCACCCCCATCAACACCTCATATACCCTCTGTGTCCTTTATTCACTGGACACAAAACTTGTCAGAGAAAGAAGTGAGAAGCCACAGAGTCCAGGTATCCGTATGCACCTGCATCCTACTCTAACAGAGTGCCAGCACTCCTTAAGGACACAGAGTTCATCCATCTTGGTAAACCAGAGTGACTTTGGTCCTGTTTCCAATACAGGGGAATTTATTGCTTAGCTATGTTTGTGATGTGAATTGTTAGAGAGTGCTTGTAGTGGGAAGAGGGAGATGTGGTATGGTGAAGCAAGTATGGAGCCATGAGAAAGGGCAGTGGGTTATTAGAGAATTTGGTAATTATAGATGCAATAAGACACTATGTCCGGTCATTCCCACCATATGTGAAGAAAATAGTCTGCTCCTCTCCCACATCAGCAACGCAAACCATCCATCCATGGCATGCACCAGGTCACACATTATGTGCATCTGAAAATGTTTTCCCTAAGGCTTGTTCCTTTGGGAAAAGAGGGGAAGTGTAGCATGGAGGCATGATATGCTTTGGGGCAGGGGATCTGTGTCCTGGCATTAGAGTTCCAACAAAGTAAGGTCTCTATGCAGATCAAGAAATTGAAAAATTCTGCGCCAGATAGTCCCTAAATTGACATATCTGAAACAGATCATGAAATCATTACATGGAGTGTCTATTACCTTTTGAAGAGGCAATATCTCCCTCTCTGTGGTCACATTTTAGACCCAAGGTATATCCTGCAAAAAGATACATCTTAAAATGCGGCCTCTCACTGTGTTCAAAGTCTGGAAGGTCAGAGTAGGTCAGAGATAGTAGGAGAAAGGGGAACAAGAATAGTCTCAATTTCATGGCCATGAATGCCAAACTTTCATTGTAGCTGAGATCAAGGGCTGCTGTGTAAACAGTAGTCTTCTTGTAAAAAGTTTCAACCACAGGAGGGTGGAAAATGGCCTTCCCACTTGGAGTGACTCTGGATTTCCAAGGTTTATACACCCTGTCTTTAGGCACTCGTAGAAGATGGCTTGCATAATGATAGAGTTTAAAGTCAGGGACCACTATCCCCCCTTTGCTGTGTGAATTTCTGTCTGGTGCCGTTCCATATGAACCTAATGAGAAGGGTGAGCAGGGACGTAAAGAATACCGTAGGAATGGTTATTGGTAGTGTATGGAGTATAGTACCCATGGTAGCACATTCATTTTGGTTATGACCACCTGCCCAAGCCATGAGAAATGACCTAGCATCTATTCAGCTAAATTCTGGATAACACTTAGTAGTGGTATGGAATAAATTTGGTATAGCCTTCAAATCAATATTGAGCCAGACCCCCAGGCATTTAATCGTCAAAACAACTCCATTGAAAAGGGAAACTCTGATGGATTGGGATGGAACACCTCAGCAGGATTCATATGTTTAGCATAGTGGATTTAGAATAATTGATTCTCAAATTTGACATTTTGCCTCCAATACCTCCATGGAGTGAGTCAAACATTATGTTTGGGTGGGGGACTTTAGGGTTACACGCAAAGAAAATCACATCGTCAGCATATCTCGCCACTTTAGAATGGTCACCCCCATCTCTATCCCCTTTTCCCTTTTTTATTGATATTTTCTTAACTTGTCTGCAGGAATTGTTCAAGGGCATGGACGAAGAACAGTGACGCTAAAGGGCATCCCTGTTTGGTGCCATTCTGGATACCCATCCGTGTGGTAGGAGAGGAGTGTAACGGAGCTCCTTGTACTCCGACTGAGTACCCTCCATTGATGGATGCTCCTAGCGCTTCCTGAGGACTCCCAAGCACTGCAGCAGACACCACAATCACCGCAGACTCCGCAACCGCCGTATCTTGACTGGAGTCTCGCCGTCTTCCTTCCACCCTGGATCAGCTTCTGTCCTCCAGGACTGTGTGGGAAAGAACTCTTCCTTCCACCCTGTATAAACCTCCAGCATCCAGGACTGTGTGGTGAAGACCCCTCCTCCAAGGAGAGCGTGTCAGGAACAAGCTCTTAAAAGAGCTAAGTGATTCAAGCTCAGGGGAGCATGCAGAGCATAGCAATCCCCAGTGTGATTATAACAGCTCCCTCCAATAACGAGACAAGGCTACGTTTAGAGGGATCAAGAAGAACTGTCAAAACCTTTATTCCCTTGGGACCAGCCAATACAGTCACCACAATAACATTGTTGTGAAACCTCAATAAAATCACAAACAGTCAAACCATATCAAGAAACACACAGTGACTTATCACAACACAATGGCACATTTTTAAAGGGGTGGGGGAAGACAATATTTAACAGTAAATATCTCACCTGCCTGCAGAATTAGCAATATGCAAATCTACCCGAATATGCAAATGAACCAGTCTTGCAATTCAGGTAGTGCATATTGCTGTTGCTACCAACAGAGGGCACTAGACCAGCTCCATAGCCAAACCCACCTAGTTGGTAGCAAACCTCAGCAATACAAGAGAGCAGGCAATACATTACACAGTACACACACACACACTATAAACAATTACATTACACACACCCTGCACCTATAATGGGTACAGGGTGACTAAAACATAGGATAAATAAAGCAGCCCACATAAATAGTCTGTCTGAAGGTAGACTAGGGGCTTTAAAGCCAGATAGATGAAAGAGTCATAGTCACAGGGGAGGAGACTGGCAAGAAGGCCTCTCCAGGACCAAGTGGCGAAGGGCACTTCGTCACATATCTCCCCTTCGGGGGGAAGACTAACCAGGCACCTGACTTTCTGTCGGTCAGTGCCTAAGTTAGTCGAGTCACCCACCGACCATAAGCAAGTGCCAGAGTAGCCCACCCACAACAAACAGTTATTAGAGCAGCCCACCCACAGCAAACAGTGACTGCACCTGGGTATTCCTCTGGGGTGATGGGGCAACACGCTGTGGGGACTTGAGGGGCAGAGGCCAGCGGCGCTCTGCCCTGATGCCAGCGCTTCTGCTGGGAGGAGGGGGGTGCAGGCCAGTCCTGTGACAAGGGGATCGGTAGGGCAGAGGCCAGCGGCGGTCTGCCCTGATGCCAGCTCTTCTGCTGGTATAGCCTGCAGGACATCAGGCTCTGGACAGGGGACAAAGGGAGGGCAGAGGCCGACTGCACTCTGCCCAGCTGCCAGCTCTTCCGCTGGGGGGCTTGGGACATAGTCCGGCTCAGTAGCCAGGGGAACGTGGGGGTCAGTGGGGGTTAACATCTCCCCTGTTAACCCTGGGGCCAAGTTAGGAGTTAGCTGGGGCGGGGAATTCGTACTTACCCCCTCCTCCTGTTGTCCCTGTGAGGGTAGTTGGGGATCTGGACAGGCTGTCCAGCATCCCTGTAGGTCGGGCACAGAGACCACGGTCCCCTCTGCGCCATCTGGGAGATTGGTGTCTCCCCTTGGTAGGGTAAGCTGCCGCTGGGGAGATAGGGTGCTGTGCTCCTCTCCCTGAAACACAGGCTGCCGCTGGAGAGGGAGACCGCCTGTCTCCACTCCCATAACATTGTCCTGCTGCTGGAGAGAGAGACCAACTGTCTCTGCTCCCTGTAGGACACACTGCTGCTGGGGAGGAAGGACGACACCTTCGGCTCCCTGGAATTCGCACTGCCGCTGGGGAGGAAGGATGACACCTTCGGCTCCCTGTAACTTGCACTGCCGCTGGGGAGTTAGGACGAAGGACGACACCTTCGGCTCCCTGGAATTCGCACTGCCGCTGGGGAGGAAGGACGACACCTTCGGCTCCCTGTAACTTGCACTGCCGCTGGGGAGGAAGGACGACACCTTCGGCTCCCTGTAACTTGCACTGCCGCTGGAGACTAGGTGTCCATATCCTCAACCTCCACAGTTGTCGCTCAAAGGCCATTGCCGCACTGTTCTCAGCACTCAACTGGCGCATTACTTGGTGGACCACCTCGTTCGAAAGGTCTGGGCCATAGCAGACCAACCGCCTCTTTACCTCCTCAATGTAAGCGTCGTCCTCGTAGCGCCGTATCCTGTTGAGGTACTCTTCGCAGGGCTCTATCCATGCCTGCTCCATGCTGCTGTAGTTAGGGACGCTGTACAGTGGCTAGCGTTGCCCTCAATAACCTCTCATACGATACCAGTGTCTCCGAGCTGCTTCTCCTCGCACTAGGACGCCATCCCACCGCTGCCACCAATGTAACGGAGCTCCTTGTACTCCGACTGAGTACCCTCCGTTGATGGATGCTCCTAGCGCTTCCTGAGGACTCCCAAGCACTGCAGCAGACACCACAACCACCGCAGACTCCGCAACCGCCGTATCTTGACTGGAGTCTCGCCGTCTTCCTTCCACCCTGGATCAGCTTCTGTCCTCCAGGACTGTGTGGGAAAGAACTCTTCCTTCCACCCTGTATAAACCTCCAGCATCCAGGACTGTGTGGTGAAGACCCCTCCTCCAAGGAGAGCGTGTCAGGAACAAGCTCTTAAAAGAGCTAAGTGACTCAAGCTCAGGGGAGCATGCAGAGCATAGCAATCCCCAGTGTGATTATAACAGCTCCCTCCAATAACGAGACAAGGCTACATTTAGAGGGATCAAGAAGAACTGTCAAAACCTTTATTCCCTTGGGACCAGCCAATACAGTGACCACAATAGCATTGTTGTGAAACCTCAATAAAATCACAAACAGTCAAACCATATCAAGAAACACACAGTTACTTATCACAACACAATGGCACATTTTTAAAAGGGTGGGGGAAGACAATATTTAACAGTAAATATCTCACCTGCCTGCAGAATTAGCAATATGCAAATCTACCCGAATATGCAAATGAACCAGTCTTGCAATTCAGGTAGTGCATATTGCTGTTGCTACCAACAGAGAGCACTAGACCAGCTCCATAGCCAAACCCACCTAGTTGGTAGCAAACCTCAGCAATACAAGAGAGCAGGCAATACATTACACAGTACACACACACACACACACTATAAACAATTACATTACACACACCCTGCACCTATAATGGGTACAGGGTGACTAAAACATAGGATAAATAAAGCAGCCCACATAAATAGTCTGTCTGAAGGTAGACTAGGGGCTTTAAAGCCAGATAGATGAAAGAGTCATAGTCACAGGGGAGGAGACTGGCAAGAAGGCCTCTCCAGGACCAAGTGGCGAAGGGCACTTCGTCACAAGGAGTATAGGGAACGTGTTTATTGTTGCATAGATTGCCCCAGTCCCTCATGCTCCAGTACTGCAAACAGGTAGTCTCACTTAACCCTGTCAAAAGCATCCGTCGAGAGGAGGAGAAGACTTCTTGAGGAGTGCTGCATCTGATGGATTAGTGACAGGGCTCTGATGTTATTATTCTTTGCTTCCCTGAGAGGGATGACCCCACCTGGTCTGGGGCAGGAGAGGTTCCAACCTAGTCACCAGAATATTTTCAAACAACCTGAGATCGCAATTTAGCAAAGAATTGTGGTGATAGTTTGCACACTGCTCAATATCCTTGCCCTCCTTTGGAAAAATGACAATACTCGCAGGCCGAGTTTGTGTGGGGATCAGGTGACCCTTCGTGATGGAATTGAAAGCTACTATAAATGTTGTATAGAGGGTGGGTGCAAAGTGCTTACAATACTTAAGGGGGAAGACATCAGGGCCTAGACTTTTCTCCAGCTTGGAATTCTTGATTGCAAAGGCCAATTCATCCTCAGACACAGGTGCCGGCAATACCTCCACAGAGTCTTATATTCAGTTAGATAAGAGCAAATACATGTGGCATTTATTTGGGTCACAGCTTGGGATTAGTGTGTGGGTAAGGTGTGTAAAATCAGAATAATATTGTTTCACTGCTACTGCAATCTGGTCTGGGAGGTGGTTCATTTGGCAATTGTAATTACAAATATGCACTATGTAGGTTACAGAGAGCTTTTTATCAACCGTTCGCACTAGCAGTTAACCACTTTTGTCACGTTTTGCATACAAAAATGATTTGATGCATCGCAGTGCCCTAGTGTAGGATGCCCTCAGTAGGGCTGATAAATCTCGTTGAGGCTCAGAGGCTGTGGAGTCACAAATATGCACTATTTTAGTTACAGAGAGCTTTTTTTCAACCATTCGCACTAGCAGTTAACCACTTTTGTCACTTTCTGCATAGAAGAATGATTTGATGCGTTGCTGTGCCCTAGTGTAGGATGCCATCAGTAGGGTCGATAAATCTCTCTGAGGCATTGCCAAAAGAGAGTAGATTTGTGTCTCTGTGCCTGAGCTAACTCCTCTATGCTTTCAGTCAGATCCTGTGTAGTCCCATCCCTAGTTTTCTTAAGGGATGTGCTTTGGGAAATAATCATTGAATAAAGTTTTTGTGTGCTTCCCCATGTGTTACGATAAGATATGTCCTGTGGCAAGTTCTCATTAAAGTAGTGTGGGAGCATCTGCAAAATTGTCTGCATCACCTAGGGGTTAGATAGGAGTGCTTCATAGAGCCACCACATAGTGACTCTAGATCTTTGTAATGGAAGGCCTGCTTTAGAATGAGAGGTGCATGGTACGACCAGGCAGCCACCACTATAGAAGATTTCTGTAGTATGGATAAATGATAACACAGCAGGAAAAATGAATCAATGCGTGTGTAGCAAGAATTTGGGGTGGAGAAAATTGTATAGTTTTTTTCTGATGGGTAAAGTGCCCTCCAGCAATCAGTCAGTCTGTATTGACTTAGCAGTTTACAAATGGTAAGCAATGTGTGCGAAGATTGTCCTAAAGAGGTGTTGACCGTGGGGTGTAGTGCAACATTAAAGTTTCTCCCAAACAGCCTTTTATAAAGTCCTGCAGTGATTTGAGAACAGTGTGAATACATTTGCTCTGTCTGGTATTAGGTACATCCAAGTTAGCAAAAGTGTATGGCTTTGTTCCCCGAACAAACACATAGTGGTCCACATAGCTGTCAGAGTGGAATGGTATTGGCTTGTAATCCAGGATGGCAGTGCTCTTTGATTTCCTCTGCGGATTGTTACAAAAAAATCATTGTGTGTATATGTTACACAGTTTTGGGGCAGAGTCCTGTTTAAAATGGGTCTCTTGAAAGTAAACTATGTGAGCGTGGACAGTACTGCACATCCTAAGTGCATCGGACCTCTTCTTAGGCAGTGTAACGGCACCCCCAAGCATTAAAAGGGGTTAAACGCCGTTTAGAGGATATTCCCCTTTCAGATACACAGGCAGCTACCAAAGACACCAATCTGCTGAACAGGAAACCATATGAATGCCGTAAACAGCTGAACCGGAACCATACGAATGCTGTAAACAGCCAAATAGGAAAAACCATACGAAAGGTTTACACTCCTAGCAGTCGAACTGGAACAGCATACAATAAATCCCCCCCAAGAACGAGACAAAGCTCCATGTTGTGGGTCAAGCAGTGAACAGCCAGAGCTGTGGGTTTATTGTTCTTATATACACATTAGTACCACCCACAGGGATTTGGAAAACAACCAATAAACACGTACAATACACTTAGACACTCCCACACAAAATCCTCCCCTCTGCCTGTGATACAATTACCTTACACAATGGGTAATGTAATTATCACAGGCAGAGAAATACAGTTTTTCCACATTAATCATAACTTTAAAAGTATGCATCACATTCACTTACATTTTCAGAATCACCATTCTCAAAATCATACAAATTGGTCCAGTGGTTCAAAAGATAGATCGTAGTCCTTTGTAACCAAATGCAGCATGGCTTTTCTGCCCAAAACCAGTTCCACAGAGTCTTCTATCCTGGAGATAATTGGGAAGTAATCCAATTATCTCCAAGGACAGAGGCAAAACTCCACTGAACACATGGCAGCAAAAGACAATAGAATAATACATAAAAATATATAACTGTGCAGCCATTGCATAAAACAGGTACATTCAACAGATAGCTCAGATCCCTGAATAACCCTTGACATGTATATATTTTTTTAAAAGAAGACAACCTAAGGTATTAAACTTGGGGTATTTTGATTCTTTTCATGCTCTTTTTATGCAACCATTTTACCACCAATCTATGCCAAATTTAAAAAAAAAATGGTGATTTTCTTTGACACACATAGCAATTTAAGAATACATGTACGGAGAACTTTAAGGGTTATTGCCAGAGAACACCTGAATATGTGTTCAGCAACATCTCCTGAGTACAGTGATAGCCCCCATGTATAGGTGTGTCGGGTTCTCTGGGGACTAAAATACCTTATTTGGAGGGTGCGCATTCCAGTTTTCCCAACTTGGAATTTTCACAGCTGGTCACCATGCACCCATGTCCTATTTGGGACATTTCTGAAGCCGGCCAATGTAATTTACCTCCATCAAACCATACATTTTTGAAAAGTAAATACCCTAGGGCAGGGGTGGGCAATCTGCGGCCCTCCAGATGTTTTGGACTACATCTCCCTTGATGCTTTGCTAGCATGGATGTAGTCCAAAACATTTGGAAGGCCGCAGATTGCCCACCCCTGCCCTAGTGTATTTCAAATGGTGGTATTTTAACACTTTCCATGCACTAATTCTACAACCAGTCTTTGTCAAAAGTTTGGCTAGTCATTTGTGTTATTCTTCTCTCACATTGTACTTTAGGCATGGATTATCAGTTCCTGTTATGCGTTACTGACAAAGAACACCCCAATATGTGTTCAGCAACATCTCCCAAGTACAACAGTGCCCCCAATGTACAGGTTTTATGGGTTTTTGCAAACTTACAGAGGTAGGGCTTTCCCCTTCTCCATTTTTGCACATTGAAATTTGCCAGATTAGTTTGCTGGGCCTATGTTGCCTTTGTGACCGTATAGATGCTCAGGAATGAAAATTAACCCCATCATGGCATACCATTTGTAAATGTAGACAACCCACGGTATTCAAAATGGGGTATGTCCAGGCTTTTGTAGTAGCCACTTAGCCACAAACGCTGGTCACAGTTAGTGAGTATAACAATACCCCTCATGTACAGGTTTTAGGGTGTTTTGGAAAGTTACAAGGTCAATATAGGGCTTGCCCAATTCAGTTTGCCAAATTGCTTTGCTGGGTCTGTGTTGCCTTTTGAGACCATATGGTAGCCCAGGAATGTGAAACAACCCCATCATGGCATACCATTTTCAAATGTAGACAACCCAGGGTATTCCAAATGGGGTATTTCCAGTTTTTTGTAGTAGCCACTTTGCCACAAACGCTTGCCAAAGTTAGCATTTTTATTTGTATTTTTGCATTTTTTGTACACAAAAACTGCACTTTTACTGGTGATGTCATCGTCATGATAAATTTTACTGTTGTAAACACTCATATTTGTGTTCAGCGAAGTCTCCCGAGTATAACAATACCCCCCATGTACAGGTTTTATGTTGTTTTAAAAAGGTACAGGGTCGATATAGGGCTTGCCCAATTCAGTTTGCCAGATTAGTTTGCTGGGTCTGTGCTGCCTTTTGAGACCACATCATAGCCCAGGAATGTAAAATAATCCCATTATGGCATACCATTTTCCATATTTCCAGTCTTTTGTAGTAGGCACTTAGGCACAAATGCTGGCCAAATTTAGTGTTTCTATTAGTTTCATTATAAAAAAACAAATTTTCTGTCCCCCTCGACCGTGATTGCCGCGGATCGCCAGTCCAGGGCTTCTATTTGCCGCTGTCGTACTAGGTACATCCGCAGTCCTTAACGGACGTACATAGTTTATCCACGGTCATTAAGGGGATATACATAGATATAGATATATATATATATATGTGTATATATATATATATATATATATATATATATATATACTGTATATATATATAAAATTTCATTCTAAGTGTATTCTAAATTACATGTATATAATTTAAAAAATATATATTTTTTTAATTTTTAATGATCTATTTCTTAAATTAATTATATATATATATAAAATAAACAATACACACGATCCAGCACTCTCTCCTATCTACTAAACAGCAACTTCAA